CTCCCTTTATCAGTTTCCTAGGGCGGCCATAACAAATTGTCACTACTTGCCGGCTTAGAGAGAACTTTATTCCCTTACAGTTTGGAAGGCCAGGAGTGTGAAATCGAGGTGTTGGCAGCCTACCAGAGGCTCTGGAGAAGATTCGATTCCATGCCTCTCTCTAGCTTCTGGTGGCTCCCGGCAGTATTTGGTATTCCTTGGCTTATCAGAGCCGATCAATTTCTGCCTTGGTTGGTCTTCACGTGGCCTTTTCCTGTGTCTCTGTGTCTCAAATTTCTTTCTCGTTCTCATATGAGGACATGTGTCATTGGATGTCCAGTGAAATCCAGGACTATCTCATCTTGAAAACCTTAATTACATCTGCAAAGGCCCTATTTCTAATTTATTTATTTATTTTATTGCAGTAACATTGGACTATAACATTATATAGCTTTCGGATGTACGTTGTAGTATATTTCGAATTCTGTGTAGATTACATCATGTTCACCACCCAAAAATTAATTATAGTCCATCCCCTCACATGTGAGCCTAACACCCCTTTGGCCCTTCCCCTTATCCCCTTCTCCTATGGTAACCACCAATCCAATCTCCGTTGCTATGTGTTTGTTTGTCATTGTTTTTATCTTCTACTTATGTGTGAGATCATACTGTATTTGACTTTCTCCCTCTGACTTATTTCACTTAGCACAATACCCTCAAGGTCCATCCATGTTGTCACAAATGGCTGGATGTCATCATTTCTTATGGCTGAGTAGTATTCCATTGTGTATATATACACCACATCTTCTTTATCCATTCATCCCTTGATGGGCACCTAGATTGCTTCCAAGTCTTGGCTATTGTGAATAATACTGCAATGAACATATGGGTGCAAAAGGCCCTATTTCCAAATAAGGTCATATTCACAAATAGTAGGGGTTAGGACTTGGACATATCTTCTTGGGGAACACAATTCAAACCACTACCCTTCCCAATCCTACTGAAAAATATTGACCAAGTGTGTGAAGAATATTGGCGAGGAGCAGTGCCGGGTGATTGCTTGCTTGGGTGTCCATGTGCCTCATTCCAGTTGGTCGGTTCCAGCTTCCCATCTGCTGCTCACTTCCAGCTGCTCATTTCAACTGTAGGGGCAGTGCAGAAACACCCTGAGTCTCTCGAAAGGCCTAGTTGCCAGCCTTTTTCCATTGTCCCTGACCAGGGCCCTCTGAGGGTGACCATGGAGGGCTGTCTTCTTCCCACGTTCACTAACACCCTACAAAACCCAAGCAATATAAGAGGAGAACCATGCAACTCTTTAGATCACTTTTTCTGTTTGCCACAACACCTGAAGTTTGTAATGGGCTTTCCCTATTTTTAATAAATTTTCCTTTAAAAAGTCATTAAAGATATTTTTCATACAGCATGGTTTTAATCTAAGTGGATTAGAACTGCGTGAAAAATATAAAGGCTTAGCATCAGTAAGGTGACTAAAAGAGTGAGAGACCCAGGGCTATTTCCGAAGAAAATTTCACAGGACCAGTAGCCACGTGAGGCTAGACTCAGGAAGAAGCAGACAAAAGAACAGCTTTTTTTTTTTTTTTTACCATTTCTTTCCTAGTTAATTAATCTTTTGTTCTTGTGTCTTTCTGTCTTGCAGTACTCAGAGCCATTTTTTAAACGTTTCATGTATATTTGAGTGAGAACCATCTCTCTTATGTGATTTTTATAAAATGCCAGAGCTTGGCTCCTTATATGAAATTTTCTGTTGGCGTTATCCATGACATAATTATAAAAATATCTTTTCTTGATGAAAAAGCTATGGAAAGAAAAACGTTATCCACCGCTCTTCTATCTCAAGCAAAGAAAGTCTACAAACGCAATAGTTAGGATCCTGAGTTTTAAATAATCAGACTTGAGACTCTAAAATGGGATGGGCAAACATTTTTCTGCACAGGGCCAGAGAGTAATTATTTTAGGTTTTGCAGGCCATGTGGTGTGTCTCACAACTATTCAACTCTGCTACTGCAGCATGAAAGCAGCCATAGAAAATAAGTAAAGAAATGTGTGTCTGTGATCCAGTAAAACTTTATTTACAGGTGGTGGCCTGATTTTGTACATAGGTCATAGTTTGCCAATCCCTACTCTAAAATATCAACCAGTTCTCCATGTTTCTATTATAAGGACATGTATCCATATGGAAATATTAGGGAATATAGCATAATTTCAGATTCTCTTTCATAATGTTGGAAATATTTTGGACATCTCTTTCATTAACCATTTTATACCCAGTGCCTTAGCACAGTGTCTTCTGTTTAGTAGGCACTCAAATGTTTATTTAATGAACAGCAAATGAGTAAGGCCTGAGTTGTCCTACCCTGCCAGTCTCTGCAGGTGCCCACTAAGCCTGGTCCAGCTCCAATACACTTCAAATTGCTTAGCTGAAATAATTCGAGTTCAGTATGCCAAAACACTGGAAACTCGTGTATGGTGGAGCTCTCCTCTGTAGGAAAGTTGTGAGATCTGTACTTCTGTTACGAATAAATATAGTCCCAATACTTTTCTTAGAAAGGAAACTGATACCTACGTCTATATCTATGTTATAGCTATATCAGTCAACAGTTGGCTCATTGATGGCCATGGGGATGATGAGATTCTGAACCAATAGGGGCCAGGTGGCAGCCCTTTACTTCCAGAGGCCAGGGGGTTGCAATTACCATAACAAGAGGCAGAGGTGAAGGGTAGGTAAGAGGGTTTCACCTGGAGGGAACTGTGGAGATGACTAATAGAGCATTGCATCCCTGGGGCAAAAAAGATGAATAGCCAATGAGGGTGCTGCTTAATATACACAGTCAAAAGAAGGCAAGAACGGATGAGCAGCAGGCTGAGGGTGGTCACCCCAATAGAAAGTCAGGATACTTTGCCCAGATCCCAGACCTCAGCCAGTTTTCAGATCCGGAAACTATTGACTGAGGGGGTGGCCAAGTCCACAGGAGGATGAATCTTGAAATATATGGCAAAAATATACTGTCTTGATTTCTCCCATTTTCCTCGAAAGAGACGTATGGTAATTTATTTGGGAAAATACATACTGAGGAAAGAGGAATATGGAGATATTTTGAGGGCATTGGGTCTGAATTAACATTGAAGCACAGAGTTCCAAAGCATCATGTTAGAGTGGAGGCATACAGGGGCCAAGAAATAAACAGAGTGCTGGCCAAAGTCTTGCTCTCAGTAGGTCCTGTAGGTCTGAAGACCCATCCAGTGGTCACCTCCCCAGTCCCTGAAGGTATAATTGGGATTGATAATCTTGGCTGTTAGAGTAGCCACCACCTTGAATTCTTCTCGTTCTACCAAATGAGAGCTATCTATCATGGTGAAGAAGATGAAGTGGAAGCTTCTGAAGCTGCACATCCACATTCCTGCCCCCAACCCCCCACCCCCTCGCCAGTCCTGGCTAACGTAGTGAATCAAAAAATATTGCATTTGGTGGTGGTGATGGGGAGGAATGGCGGAAATGAAGGCTACTCTAAAAGATCTTAAGATTGCATGTGGTGATGATCCATATCGTAGCTCCACCAGTCTGACCAGTGCAGAAACCAAATGAATCTTAGAGAATGACTAGAGGCCCCTGGAAACTCAAATAATTGTGATTACTGTGCTAGATGTATTATCTTTCCTAGAGCAGATTACTATGGCCTCAGGTCCATGGTTTGCAGACATGGATTTGGCATTCTTCTCTATCCCAATCAGGAAAGATCCGAAAAAGGATCAGAAACCATTTGTATTTACACGGAAGGCAATACTATACAAGTACAGTTTGTCTGGGGGCTATGTTACCTCTGCTCTCTGTCATAATAGAATCAGATGAGATCTGGGCTGTCTGGACACCCTGCACAACATTTTGTTGATCACAAGGATGAGCAAGAAGTGGCTAGCATGCTGAGGCATTGGTAGGACACATGCATTACAGGGTATGGGAGTTAAAGCTGGTAACAATTGAGGGACTTCCACTGTTGTAAAGTGTTTAGAGATCCAGTTGGGTCAAGGGCAAGTGAGGACATCTCTTCAGAAAGACAAATTGCTGCTACCAGAAAGAAGAAAACAAAATTCCTGGTAACATCCTTTGACTTATGGTGGCAGCATATTCCACATCTAGGAATGTGCTCCAGCCCATTCCTAGGGACATGAGAAGCTCCCTGTTTTGAGTGGGGCCTAGAGCAGGAAGTCAGGGCTGCAGTACAAGCAGCCCTGGGCTGGGACCATATGATCTGGCAAACCCAATGCCGTTGGAGGTGTCAGTGATGGGAAACAAGGCAGTGTGGCATATAGATGAAGCCCCAGTGGGAGCATCACCACACAGACCTCTGGAGTTTTGGAGTGAGGCCATTCCATCTGCAATAGAATATTTTTTTGTTGTTAGGAGTCTTTTTTGGTTTTTGGGTTTTTTAAAAAGACTTTACTTTTCCTTTTTCTCCCTAAAGCCCCCTGGTACATAGTTGTGTATTTTTAGTTGTGAGTCCTAGTTGTGGCACATGAGACGCCTCTTCAGCGTGGCCTGAAGAGCGGTGCCATGTCCGCACCCAGGATCAGAACCAGCAAAACCCTGGGCTGTGGAAGTGGAGCATGTGAACTTAACCACTTGGCCACAGGGCTGGCCCTGTTTTTTTTTTTTTTTTAAAGATTGGCACCTGAGCTAACATCTGTTGCCAATCTTTCCTTTTTTCTCTTTTCTTCTCCCCAGAGCCAGTACATAGTTATATATGCTAGTTGTAGGCCCTTCTGGTTTTGCTATGTGGGCTGCTGCCTCAGCATGGCTTGCTGAGTGGTGCCATGTCCACGCCCAGAATCTGAACTGGTGAAACCCTAGGCCATGACGCAGAGCATGCCAACTTAACCTCTCGGCCATGAGGTTGGACCCCTGCAATAGAATCTTATATGCTTTTTGAAAAAGAGTTCCTGGTGTGTTACTGGGGCCTACAAGAGACAGAATTCTTGATTATAGGACAATAAGTAACCACGCATCTGGAACTGTCCATTATGATCTAGGTTCTGTCAGACCCACGGAGTCATAAATTCAGGCAGGCCCAGCAGCAGTCCAACATAAGATCAAAGCCGTGTATCTGGGATCAAGACAAGTAGGACCAGCAGATATGAGGTAACTGCATGAGCAGGTGTCCCAGACCCCCTGTCACCCCCCACAGTTGTTCCAGCATCCCTCCCTCAGATCCTTCCTAGGACAATGTGGGGGTCCCATGTGACCAGCTGAAGGAGTAGGAAAGGCCTGAACATATTTTATAAGTAGATCAGCTCCATGTGAGGATGCAAGCTGAAAACGGGCAGTGGTTTAATTATACTCAGAGAGGGAGGGGGCTTGAAAAACATTGGTGAGGAAAAATCGTTTCAATGGACCAAGCTCAGAGTGGTGCACTTTTTCCTCATTTTGTGTGGAGGGAGCAGCGGCCTGAGATGAGAATGTGCTTGTAGGTGGAAGGAATACTTTGATAGGCTGCTCAGGGATCTGGAAAGAAAAAGACTGAAAAATTGGAGACAAGGCAGTTTGGTGTAGAAGACTATGGATGTCCTGAGGAGAGTGGGCACAATGTGTGAAGAGTTTTGGCTCACATATTAAGACACCAGAAAGCATACATCACAAGAAGACAGTGAACAGCCAAGGAGACACAATGACTAGGCCAGTTGACATTAGCCAGTCTTTGAGTTGACACGATGGGTGCATGAATGCAGGGACCTCAGGGGCAGAGACAGAGGCCATGCATGGGCTCTTTTTCACTGATGCCTCTGAAAGTCTAACCTGCCAGCAGCAGAGCACGACACTGAGCTCCCAATATGGCATCTCCTTCAAGGAAATGATTTTCCGCAGGTGATTTTTCTTATGTTGGGCGATCAATGTGCATCCAACATGCGAGGCAACACCATCAACAGTTTCTTGAAAAATCCTAGGAATTTTAGCATCTTCAGGGCCTAACTTCAACACCTTTAGTACCTTCAGTGGTGGGTCATTTCCTGGCTTCAGTTTCATGCCTATTCAATTGAGTATGCATAACTTTAAAAATTGTACACATTAATTAAAAAAATCTATAATGTTAAACTGCCTAACATAGGAAAGGAAAACAAACAGAAACAAATTATGGTATCTTTTCCAACCATAGTTGGGGCATTAAATCAATGGTGTATGCAAAATCACTTAGTGTCCTGTTGGGTCTATAATACTAGTTGCTCCATAAATATTCGTTGAATAATTATCAGTAAGACCACTGGCCTGGGAAAGTGCCTTGGCAGATAATTATGGATACTGGAAATTTAACATTTTAATGGGAATTGCTATAAAATGCTGTATCTCCTTTCCTGTCTTAAAAGCATTTTATAATTTCGCTTTTTCTTAATAAGTCTGTGTCAGCACATGGACATCAAGCGCTGCCTAGAATCAATGATGTTGTCCTCAGGGCTGATGGCACGTGTAAGGCTGTGTTTGTGTTTTACTTTAACCTTTGGAGTCTCCTCTTCTCTATTTGGTATATTTGCTATTGTATTTCTTGTTCTCTATTCTGATTCCTTACAGATATCAGCGGACAGCAGAGTGATACAGTCAAGATTGAAAGGAACGGAAAGTAGCCTAGATTAAGGAGGGTTTGCTAAGAAGACATTGGTGTTCTCACAGCACTGACAACTCTAGCCTCACGTGGAATTGAGCTGGCATCTGGAAAACCGCCAGGAACAAGGCTGTGGGTGTGTGTTTGTGTGTAACACAATCTCTTTCCTTCATATTTTCTCTGTTCCATTGTCTTGCTCAGTATGTACAAGCTCAAAATGGTTGTTCTAGCCCTGACTAAAGTTAACTTTAGTTCAAGCACCAAATACTACCTATGAAGTCTCCATAGTTTTTAGTTCAAGTTTTCAAGAACAAGAATATGATAAGATCTCGAAACAGGCAATAAATTCACTTTTTTGATATCACTCTTGGTCAGCAAAAAAGAAAAAGCTGGAGTACAGGGGTCCTATGGCATAAACATAGCTGCTTTGGTCCACCCCTTGTAATTGGTGTGCGTGTGTCAGTTCTTATGGAAGAAAATAGAGAGAATTTGTAATATCTAGTTTTGATCCTAAATTAGAGATGGAAAAATTATATCTAGTTCTGCTAAAAACTGCCACCTGTTTCCATTTTCATCCTGACTTACATTTGAGAGAGCTTTTCTTCTTTAGATGGTGCTAAGGGAAGATGACAGGATTAGAGTCCCTAAACTTTTCCCCTGACTTCTCTGCACTATCTACCAGGATTGTGTTAAGAACAGGTTCCAATACTCTTTCAGGGAGCACTAATATACTCATCCGTATAATGCTATTTTTCTTTAAGATCAACGTAGACAGAATGGTTGATCAGCTCCAGGGAACGTGGAAATCCATTTCTTGTGAAAATTTTGAAGAATATATGAAAGAACTAGGTGAGCCATGTTTACTTGTACATCATATCCAGTAAAAATGGGAGCTTTGACAGCACAGAACTTACTCTGCATGAAATTAGATTATTCTTAGGCCCCTCCCTTCCATTGTTCACATAGAAACAATAAATATTGATTCAGCACCTAGATATAGCTCTGTGCAAAACTAGGTCGGGATTGAGATAATCCCCGCCCTCGTGTAATTTGCCATGGATTGACATAGGTTAAACGCACGTATGCCATGTACTAAACAGCAAATGATTTTAATAAACAATCATTTTGCAAACGTGTGCTTTTGATCTTTAGAGGATCTTCAGAACACATCTTGTTTTCCAGTTTCTGATGGTTGTGGCATTCCTTGGTGTGTGGCCAATCTCTGCTCCCATTGTCATATTGCCTTCTCCTTTCTGTAGTCTAATATCTATCTTCTTCTAATAGGGAAAATTTCTTCTTATAAGGAAATTTATGATTACATGCAAGGTCCTCCTCAATAATTCAGAATAATGTCCCCATCTCAAAGTCCTTAAATTAACCATATCTGCAAAGTCCCTTTTGGCATATAAGGTGGCATTCACAGGTTCCAGAGATGAGGATCTGAATATCTTTGAAGGCCATCATCCAATCTATCATAGCTTGTCATCATGTTTCACAATATGAATTCCACAAACCATATATAGTGCTTCCCCAATTTATCTTCTCTTAGAAATTTAACTTAGGTATTACTATATGTGTAATGCTATTGCTATAGAAAATACTCCTACATGTACCATATAAAGTTGTGTGTGCAAAGATGTTCACTACAGCATTATTTATAGTAACAAAAAATGGAAGCAAACTAAATGCCTATCAATAAAGAGATGGAGACAAAAAATTTTGGAATATACACACTGTGGAATATTCAGTAGTTATGACAAAAATATATATCTATGTGTATTGATATGGAAAAGCTCCAAGAGATACAGATAAGGGGGAAAAGCAAGTTGGAAAACAATAGTTATACTAACATTTATATACTTTTTAGAAACCTATATCTATAGTGTGATAGTGGCACAAGATTGTGAATGTACTTAATGCTACTGAATTGTGTACATTAAAATGTTAAAAATAATAAACTTTATGTTATAAGTAGTTAACTACAATAAAAAACATAATAGAGAAAACAAACCCTATATGTGTGTTCATATACGAATGCAAGTGAAGAGACAAAGTTCTGGAAGAATCCATGCCTAAGTATGTTGTCTGTGTGTAAATTAGTGTATTTTTTCATGGCTTTAATCAAATTTTCAAAGGGGTCTAGGAACCAACAAGATTAATAACTACTGGACTAGAGAGACGTAACAGTCACTACGCAAAAGCTGGCCACTGATATTTTTTCTGCAAATGTAATCAATTTTAACATACAATGGTGCTACTGGCTTTAGATATTTGAATTCATGTGGCATTAAATCTGTTTAACTCAGAAGTCTCCTAGTTAGCAGAGAATTATATGGCTAATGTGAGTTCTTGGAGCCAACAACAGGTTTAACCATTGCGTCTTTTTTATCTGGTTTCCAGGAATAGGAAGAGTCAGCAGGAAGCTTGGCTGTCTGGCAAAACCCACTGTGACCATAAATACAAAGGAAGATGTCATCACTATAAAAACCAAAAGCATCTTTAAAAATAATGAGATCTCCTTTAAACTGGGAGAAGAGTTTGAAGAAACCACACCAGCTGGCCGTAAGATCAAGGTGAGGCCTTCGACATTGTTTCAGATAAATTTCATGTTAATTTTGAAATCATCCTAAGTAAGTAAGCAATTATAGCAAACATATCAAAAGTCTGTATTAGATACACTTTGGGCTAAAACCTAGGTCTGAGGACCTCAAAATTTAAAATGTATTCAAATCTCCTGGAATGCTTGTGAAAAATGCCTACTTCGAGGTCCCATCCCCAGAGGCTCCGATGTCTGGAGTGGGCACCTGAAAATCGTATTTTTGACAACAATTCTGATGCAGATGATTAGCAGACCATGTTTTGAGAATTATCTCTCTAGATTGTCTCTCACAACCAAAAGTTCTGCTTTCCATTTTGTAGCATTTTCCACACATAAAATTATAATGCATAAAACATATTAGCTGGTATAGGTGAGATTATGCCACGCTAACAAATTAATCACAAGCTCTCAGTGACTTACAGTGGGGATTTATTTCTAACTCATAGTGCATACTCAGTGGTGGGGTGGAGTTAGGGGAAGTTTGTGTACGTGTAGGGTGGGGGCAGGAAATGGAGGCGTAGGGTGTCTTCCCCTCTCAATTTCTCAGGGACCCGGGCCCAAGGAGGTTCAACTACCTTGTACCTCCACCGTTGGGAACTTGTGGACTCAGTCAACAAGACAGTCAACAAGGAAAGAGACACTGGGGTTTGTATTGCCTCAGCCTGGAAGTGACACACACAGTTTCTTTCATCTTGTGGGCTCCAACTGGAATACATAATTTACGTTTTTTTTGTATTTTCTGTTTATTATATGTTCCCCCACACCAGAATGTAAGCTCCTCAAAGACAGAATGTCTTGTCTGTTTTGTTTCACAGAACACAGTACTTGTTACATAATAGTTGCTCAATAAATATTTGTTGTTTGGATGAATGAACTCAATAGAGGATTGTTGCAGTATATGGAAGAGGATGCCCTGATAAAAGGAACTAACGCATCACATTAACAGATAGTTGCTAAATAATATGAGACTTCAGATTCCTGTACAACGTAAAATGAAAGAAGAATTTTGGCTTAAAATGTTTAATAAAGATGTCTGTGGTAAATTTTCAAAAATCTACTAGAATAAAAAGGCTACAAAATATAGGAAAGCAGAAGGAAAATTTAATGATTATCATTGTCTCTGCTACAGAATAGAACAGTAAATAATTTTGGTAGAAGGCCCAACTCACTGGAATTGTAAGCTCTGAGATGTATGCATCCAAATGATTATATAACATGATTTTGCAATAGAGTAGAATTTAATCATTGATATCTCTAAACTTTGTGATATATAATATAATGGAGGAAGATGCAGACTGGATCGGCATGACCTGAGTGTGAATCCCACCTCTGACCCCAATCAGCTGTGTGACTTTGGGCAAGCCACACAACCTTGCTGGCTCAGTCTTTTCCGTTGCAAAAATGGATAATAATAGTACTTATCTCATATGGTTGTTGTGAGGATTACATGAATTAATATATTAAAACCTCTTTGAAGAGTGCCTTACACAATAGTGATACATAAGTGGTAGAGGTTGTTCTTGTGACTATAATTATAATTTTCACTATTTTTATGTTGTTGAGGTAAGAGGAGGAAACAGGACTTTTCTCATTTAAGTAAGGTCTTACAATGGGAGTTTGAATTAGCTTCATATGTATTTTTAAAGTCGAAACTTACTTGTGATTCTTTATGCAAAAAGATAATACTTTGCTTATACAATAAAACATAAAAAAGAATGACTTACTCTTCAAAGTAATATTATGTTTTTTACTCTTATAAAACTACTTTTTACCAGAAGAATCAGCCAACAAATTTACCATTGACAATGTCTTAAAATAAATGAATCGTAAACACCATTCTAAAACAACCTGAGAGTAGCACGGCAGCCAAAAAGAATTTGACATCTGACAAGATTTTAGAGTTCAAATACAACAATCTGAGCTGGATTTGGTTTTGTCTGTTTTTCAGAGTCTGGTAACCTTAGATAATGACTCCTTGGTTCAGGTTAAGGACTGGGAAGGCAAAGAGACCACCATAACAAGAAGGTTGGTGGATGGGAAAATGGTGGTGGTGAGTGAGCTGTTTCTCATTACTTTTTTCCACCTACTATAACATCTATTTATAAAATCACTCAAATAGTTTGTTCCAAAACAATGGAGGTAAATGCAGTTTTTCTTTCCCTCTTGATTTCTAAGAGCGGGGGAAAACATTGGCAGATAAATATATGATCATAAATGTTAATAAAAAGCACATGGATTGAGGAACTAAAACACGAAAGAGAATTTAAGAAATTGTCTTGCCTAATTCTTTGACTTGTGCATAAGCCAAAATAAGTGTGTATTTGTGCAATAAAGATTTCAGCAGAAATTGAGAATTATTGCTAATCTTCTGCTCTACGCCAGGATTAATTTCTCACAGTTTTCCAGATCAACACCAAATAAAAGCATGAAAAGGAAATTTAAACTGAGAGTGCAAAGCTTAAGTGGTGTCTGTTTGGTGTAAGGATGAGTCGATACAAGAAAAAACTAACATTTATGTGGCTACCACCTGCCCATGTTTTCATATGTTATTTAACCAATCCTCACAATAGTGTTGTGAGGCAAGACTTATTCACCCCCTTAACGGGTGATAAAATTGAGATTCAAACACTGATTTACCTAAGGATATTCAGCTAGAAAAATGTGGTTCTGAGATTAAAATCTAGGTTGGCGTAATGCCAAAGTCTACACTTTTTTGAGTCTACCCCACTCCCTCTCAAGATGGCTTCCCAAGTCATCTCTTTGCTTCTTTAGAGTGGAGGGAAATATGTCAATGTTTCTCTTCCTCCCAAACCCTCACCTCCACCAAAATGAATCAAAAGGTAATTTGGGACGTAACGTAAAATAGTTCTAAGGAAATACGCAAGAATTGTGTGGAGGTGAAAAAAAACCATCTATCCTCACTTCTTTTTTTCTCCCCACCTTTATCCTTTATTTTATAATTAAGTCTTTGCTGTCCTGTTCTGATAGCTGCAATTTTCTGATTTTGTCTGTCTATCTCCTTGCTCAAAGCTTTGTAAACCTTTGCCTTTTTGTTTTGGGTATGAGGGCTTCCTTCATCATTTCTTGTAAGGCGGGTCTAGTGGGGATGAACTCCCTCAGCTTTTATTTGTCTGGGAAAGTTTTTATTTCTCTGTCAAATCTGAAGGATAATTTCACTCGATAGAATATTCTTGACTGAAAGTTTTTGTCTTTCAGTATTTTGAATATATCGTCCCATTCTCTCCTGGCCTGTAAGGTTTCTGCTGAGAAATCTGCTGACAGCCTGACAGGGGTTCTTTTATAGGTTATTTTCTTCTCTCTTGCTGCCCTTATTATTTTTTTCTTTGTAATTGACTTTTGACAGTTTTAATATTACACGCTTTGGAGAAGGTCTCTTTGCATTCATGTAATTAGGAGTTCTATTGGCTTCATGTACTTGTAAGTTCACTTTCTTCCCCCGTTTTGGGAAGTTCTCAGCCATTATTTCTTTGAACAAACTGTCTGCTCCTCTCTCCTTCTCTTCTCCCTCTGGAATACCTATAATCCTTATGCTGCTTTTCCTAATTGAGTTGGATATTTCTTGAAAAATTCCTTCAGTTTTTAAAAATCTTGGTTCTCTCTCCTCTTCCACCTGGATCATTTCTAGGTTTCTGTATTCAAGCTCACTGATTTTCTCCTCCACAAGGTCTGCTGTATTCTTTGTGCTTTCTACATTACATTTTGTCTCATTAATTGTGTTCTTCATATCCAGAATTTTTGTTTGTTTGGTTTTTTTTTTTCAGAGCTTCAATCTCTTTGGTGAAGTCTTCCTTCTGTTCATTAACTTTACTCCTTAGGTCATTCAACTGTCTTCCTGAGTTTTCCTGTAAGTCACTGAGTTTCTTCATGACGGCTATTTTGAGTTCTCTGTCAGTCAGATTGTAATCTTCTGTGATTTCCAGTTTGGTTTCTGGAGAGCTGTCATTCTCCTTCTGCTCTGCCATGTTCCTGTAGTTCTTCATGGTGCTTGATGAGTTGATCCTCTGCTGGCACATTGGTAGTCACCACTTTCTTATTTGGGTATGGCTTCAGTTACTGATTCTGACCTGCTTCTGGTTGTACTTGAGAGCCTGCACTTTCCGCTCTCCACTGCCTCTGCTAGAAGTGTCATCAGTGCCCTCCTTGTGCTGCTTGTGCCTCTGGGGTTGCTGGTGCCCTGCTGCTTTCGATGTTGCTGCAGTCTCAGGTGTTACCACTGGGGTCACCAGGCTGTGAGCACTTCTGCTGCTTCCAGGGTTGCCTGGGTCTCATGTTCCCCGACTTCTCTCCATGGGCTCTTTACAGGCTTGGGTTCCGCTGTCCCTTAGACCACCCGCACTGCTGCTCTTGTGTTATCTGGGGGTACTGGCAGCACTGCAGCCAGGGGCTGTGGGCTCACAGGTGTCACTGTTGCTGTTGGGGCCTGAGTTCTTGTATGCAGCCCCTGCTGCTGGTAGAGTTGGTGTCAGGGGTGCCACCACTGGGGGCTGGATCTCAGGTTATGCTGTGGTTACTAAAGCCTCAGGGTGCAGGTGCCAGCTGCTGTGGCTGGGGGAGGAGTAGGGGCTGAGTTGCATGTGTTGCTGCTGGCCCTGCCATCTCTAGTCACTGGCGCGCAATGGTGTGCTTTTTGAGACCTCAGATCAGGGCACCCTGCTCCTGCTGGTGAAGTCCGAGTTTTGGTTGCTGTCCCTACTGCTAGAGAAATGAGCAACACTGCCAGGGAGGAAGAGAGGGCTGGGTCCGTGGCACCGCTCTGTGTCCTGAAGCCTCAGGACATGTGCCATCCACCACCACTAAGGGTGGACAGGGACCCCAGCCTCTGGTTGTTGGGGCTGGTGCTCACACTGACAACCTGCTCTGAAACCTCAGATCAGGGGACCCTGCCCCTGCTGGGGAAATTCACGGCTTGGGTGTAGTCCCCACTGCAGGAAAGATGGCGCCACTGCTGGGGAGAGAGGGAGGGGGCCAGGTCACCAACTCCACTGTGTCCTGGAACCTCAAGACATGTGTGCAACATCTGCCACCACTGGGGGCAGGGGGCAGAGGGCAGGGGCCAAGGCACAAGTGCTGTGTTTGCCCTAGCAGCCTGCATTTGCTGGTGTGTGAGCCGATGGGAGGATAAGCATCTTGGATTACCATTGCTGGGCAGAAGGAGAGGGATGCTCCCCAGGTTCGACTCTCCCAGAGGTTGAGTCCACCCACCTTCAGATGTCTAGATGCATGTATCACCCAGGCGTCCTGGTGTGCTGTGCAGGGAGTCCTGTGTTGGTCACTGGCTTTCTGACTGGTTGTAACTCAGAGGGGAGAGACAAAGGGAATGACTCACTCCCCCATGATGCTGATGTCATTCTCTGTCCTCGTTTCTTAACGTAAGGATGTTTCTCCTTTCAACAATGAAGAGTACATTTCCTTATGAAGTAAGAAGTGGAGGACTAAGATTACTTCTTTTATTGCTTCTTATAATGACATTAACCACTAAACAGATAGGTTTTATAGTTCATCAGGAAGAATATTAGATTCAGAATCCACAGACATGGGTTTCCATCTCTGCCATTCAGTACCTATGTGACTTTGGACAAATCATTTATCCTCTCCAAGATTTAGGTTCCTTGCCTTCAAAATGTAGAAAATATGTTCACAGTGTTTTTGAGAGAATTATGTATGTATGTATATTTCAGTGCTCTGAAAACCATAAAATACTACATCGATGTCAGTTGTTACTAGCATTTGAAAAGTATAGATTACGTAAAATAGCAAAAATGCTTCAATGTAGGCATTTAAAATGTTTTAATAAATGCTTCAAATTCCTACAAATACACTTTGGTTTTTTGTATATATATGTATATACACAAATATATATATAAGCACACCATATATGTGATTTGCCATATGTGTGTGTTTGTGTACATATATACATATATGGCAAAATCAGCCAACAAATCGTTATCTATAGTTGTCTATCTAGATCTCTTTCCAAGATTTTTAAGGAATGTATGTATGGATAGTACTTAGTCTGCATTTTTATAAATGTCAGTTTCACCAACAATACTGAAATATCTCATTCTTTGTTTGTCTTCTAGGAAAGTGCCGTGAACAATGTCACCTGCACTCGGACATATGAAAGAGTACCAACAAACTCAGTCACAAACTCTTAAGCACTCTCATGATCCAAAGTGCTGAGGTTGCTTAAATAAAACTCCGTGGTAAAATACCATGACTGCTAATATGACAACCTTTGCACGAGTGCCAACAATTTGGGTGCCCTGCTGAATGTCTGTATCATACAGGACCTTGGCATTGGTGGCTGTAAGAAATCAGGATGATGTATCCTGTTCGATGTGGGGCTGCTGTAACACATTCAGAGAAGCACTTCATGTTGATTTTCTCCTAATTAGGCATATTATGTCAATCCTTTAAATTTAACATGATCTGCACTATATTGGGAAAATAATATTCATTTTTTTTTTAAGGAAGATTAGCCCTGAGCTAACATCTGCCACCAATCCTCCTCTTTTTGCTGAGGAAGACTGGCCCTGAGCTCACATCTGTGCCCATCTTCCTCTACTTTATACGTGGGACGCCTGCCACAGCATGGCTTGATAAGCAGTGTGTAGGTCCATACCCGGGATCTGAACTGGTGAACCCCGGGCCACTGGAGCAGAGTGCATAAACTTAACTGCTATGCCAGTGACCCAGTCCCAGTATTAATTTTTTAATAAACTAGTTGGGACATAGTGTGCCTTATAGGTAATAGCTCAACTTATGGGAAAGGGTAACAAACAGGTTTGGAACCAGAGCAATAACTGACAATCTAATACAATACCCAACTATTTTTACAGAGAATTCCATAACCACTACCACCATCACTGAAAGGCAACACAAAAGAGAATATTCTACTTTATTAGCCCCAAACCTCACGTACTTTCGGCCAGGGGGCGATTTTAGAAACCACGCGGACTGATCACTTTATCTTGTAGGTGGATAAACAGGCCTAAATTGGTTAACTATGCACTTCAATATCACCCCGATGTTTTCAGGAGAAACTGGCACCAGAATCCATGCTTTCTAATTATTCACCTCACAACCATAACAAAGGGAATTTAGGTGGAAACAGGTTCACAGTGTACAATTAGGGATTAAGTGTAACACTACCTCCAACTAATGACTAAACAAGCTTCCCTGTGTCTTAAAATGTGTGGCAGGATGCCACAGCTGCGTCCGGGAGTGGACATAGAGTTTGGCCATTTGAACATGTGGCCTGTCACGGCTCATTTGCCCGAACTGACCTATAGGGGATCTTGGCGCTCTGGTGGAAGTGAGAGAAGTGCTTGTTTACTTTTTTGGTGTACTGAAGTGATGAAGACGACAACAGAAGGCACAGGAAAGCATCCTCCTGAGCTGCTTGGACTGGACAGAGAGAGGATTCCAGGCAAGGTGGAAGGGGCTGTTTTCCTGAGGCCCCGCGTATGGTCAAGGACATGAGCAGCTCTGTGGCTGGGCCCAGGTGACAACTTGCTGCATGGATACGAGAAAGAAGCACTCTCCCCATCGGGATGGAACCCAGCACTGCTCTGACCTCTCCCGGGTCAGGGTCTGTGGGAGCTTCACAAGCAGTGCTCCTGGCTTTGGTGGAGGGTTTGCTGTCTGCTGTGGAAGGGAGGTCCTCTCGTAGGCAGCAGGCGTCAGTGTGGGAAGCCTTGTGGTGAAGGGGTAGTTATCAGATGCCAGCAGAACATGGGAGGGGTACCCTGATGACTCCAGGAGCACCTGGGGTGGGCAGCAGGGGTGGGCTTTGCTGGGAACTGGAGTTCTGCCTGAGCAGGTGCAAGTAGGGCGTTTGGATATCCATGTCAATATGATTTTATTTGTCAACAACCTGATGAAGTCTGGAGACTTTCGGGTACTCCAAAAACAAAAAAACAAAAAAACCCGAATATACAACAGCAGCAAAGGTTTTCAGAAGAAGTAAGCAGGATGCCTACCTTCTTCCCACCCCCTTTACCCAGTTGAGAATTATTAAAACAGAAAGTCACTCACTGTGATTGACGGACGTGGAATATTTTCTATCCAGTGAATAAATTTGGGGAAATAATGTTGTATTTGCATAATTCAGTTAACAATAATCTGAGGTGAAAAATAAAATAACAAGAATGATAGCAGACTGTTTTATGAGTAGTTATTAAGTGCCAGCCACTGTGTTTAGCACTTTCCATGCCTACCTCATCTTCACTTCCATGATGTATTTACAAAGGTATCAGCTAAGATTCAGAGAGGTTAAATATTTTGCCTAAATTTCCTCAGCTGATCAATACTCGGGCCAAAGTTCGAAACGAGCTCTCTGCGATTCCAGGTCCACGTTCTTCAACCATGGTGCTGGAACGCCTCCCCTGAAGTCAAGATACAAATTCTGAGAGAGTCTTTCAGAGTCTTTCTATGTAATAATAAGTATGATAAATAAATGCATGGTTAAAACCATTGACCTGAACTTGTAAAGCTGGAGAAACCTGCCCGACCCGAACTCTGCCAGCCTAAACTGATGAGAAAGATGATCTTTTGAAGCTGAAGATTTAAGAAGCAGAAAACAGCCAAACCGTGAAGAATCCATGCCCCTTATAAGGCAGATTCATCAGGAAGTTCTTGCTCAGGACACTAAACAAAAGGAATAAGATCTAAGAATCTGAGACCAGAGGAAGTGAACTTGGAGAAACTGAAGGTCCAGTAAGTTTCAGCTTAGCATTTATAGATGAGAATCATGTTTAAGAGTAAGTTGCGAGTATGGTTACATGTTGTGAATCTGGAGAATTTTCCTACTGACACAGCGTGGAGATGTCCTGGAAACATGCTTTTAGCATCGATGCGGCTCTGAGGGTCCTAAATGGGGATTTCTCGTTTAAAGAGACCAGAGAACTGAGGTCGGTGACAAGGTCCTGCAGGCGGTCGTCCTGGTTCTGGCTGACCACTGGGGTGTCGTATGGATTTGGGCTTAGCAGTTGCTGTGGACGACATGGAGTCCTGTAGACAAAATCAACGGAAAACTTAAGTCACTATTATAGACCGACTTTGACCGGAATCTCTGATGAGATATGACATTTAATTGAACAAATATACTGAATCTAGACCAGCTCCAGCTGCAAACAGGAGTGTTTTGCTGACGCAAAGACTCATTTAAGGCTTACGGCAAAGAATGTGCCCTCTTCATTTTGTGGTATGAGCACTTCTTTGTATATGCTCCAAAACTTTCTGACTTAATTCTGTTGACCAGCAGTTTTCAAATATTTTTTTTCAATCAATGGACCCTTTTGCCCAATAAGTAGTATGTAGAGCACTAGTGAGTGAAACACATGCATGCAGGACTCCTCTGCCTGCGCGGGAAGTCCCAGAATCCCGTGAAGGATTGCATTTGCTCTCCCATGTTCAGGGAGGGCACCAGACTAGGACAGCTTAATTTCACTCCCCGTCTGCTGAGAGCCACCTTTATGAGAAACCCTGTGGGGCTGGGGCTCAGATCTCTGTGCAGGAGGCTTCGCACGACTGGTGCACACATCCTGGATGCGGTGCCATGAGGCTGGTTCTGAGAAGGTTGGAAACTGTGAACTCAAATCAGCTGCAGCCCCTGGAAACTCCTGCGGCTGGCAGTCTGAAGAAACATCGCTGGGCTCGTGCCGATAGGAACAAACGATATGCCATTTGAGTAAAATATGAAACAGTTCGGGAATGAGCTAGGCATAGAAGCAGATCAATTAGAAAATTCCAACAATATTTCAGGCACACAATCATGGTCACTTGCAACGGGGAGGGCAGGAAATCGTAGGATTTGGGATAGATTTCTAAGTTAGAGTTAACAGAATTTACCGACGGATTGAATTTGAAAGGAGAGAGTTAAGGGTGATTTAGAACTTTTTGGTCTCAGACCTTAGAAGGATGCATGTCGTTAAGTGACATTACATCTAAACTTTACACTTAAACGCCTTAGAGAAGTTGAATCACTTCCGCCCAGGTTATGAAGATGCAAATGGTGAATCCAGGATCCAAGACTACCTCATTAGAAAGACTTCGCTCTCCATCAATCACTAAGGAACACTGTAGCTGGATACAGGGCTTTGAAACAGAACCAAGGTTTTCAGCAGTACTGTTGGGATTAGGGCTAAAGCAGGAGTATTTCTGTTTATGTGTTACTCTTTACTTTAAAAGATATTGAAGGCTAGAGAAGGGATGGGAGATGCATTTGATATCAAGAATTCTATAAATATTATTTCAACACCTATAATAAACTATTGAGATTTGCTGTTTGGTTTTTGGTGGTGGTGTTTGTGGTGACCTTTGAATACCAAGCACAAGTTTGTCAAATGTGGAACATAGGAGCTCTTGCATACAAGATGTAACCTCTTGTGTTTGGCAATCTTTATTTTGCTAGTTCCCTTGAGGATAATCTAAAATGTATTTCAAAACAGTAAAGTCCTGGGAGGCCCCCAACTTGCAAACACTTGGCTGAAGTAGAACGGCTCAGGTCAGCATGATTTTGAATCTAGATTTTAGCTCCTTTCTTCCCTTGCAATACTCCCCTTCATTTTTGGTTTGTTTGTTTCCTAGAGGGTTACCATTTCCTATGCAAATATAGAAGTAAAGAGAGTTAGCATGTTGCCGTACTGAGTGGAATCAACATTTCTTCCCAATTCTCTGTTCCCAGCACCCACCTCCATTCTCACTATTTAAGGACTAGCAAAGGGGAAAAGCTATACGCTCTCTCACATTAGGATCTCAAATACATTTTCTTAAAGAACAATGTTATAAAAATGGAGAGTACGCATTGTTGAAATGAGCTTGTATTCACACTATACTGCATGTACAGATGAGAAAAAAAGGAATTTTGGAACTTTGCTTCTAGCCATGGTGTAGTGACAAGAATTAGACTTACCCTCACACCATAAATGGCTGGAATATTGGACAAAATGTATGAAGGGTCTATTTTCAGATATTGGAGAACAGGAAATACTGGACCATGATGCCTTAGAGATGAGAAACACTTGAGACAAGCCCCTACCATTGTCCTGGGGACACTTCCCCAGTGGGCATCAGGGACAGGGATCATAAGAAGAGCACAGTGGCCCCACTGAGTTGAGAAGACAGAGATTGGAAGGTAAGGAATTTGAGGCAGCCGGAAGACATGGGGCAGAAGAAGGATCTACAGAAAAAAGGAGCTCTAGAAATCTGTATTAAGGATCTCCTTTAGTCTCGGCAAAATTCTTAGCTGCACATACACAGAATAAAACTTCAGAGGCCAGGGAAAGGACGACCAGAGGGCTCAACACTGAACAACTCACGGAGCTCATATGGGGCAAGGAGTTGTTTGAGCTCTGGCCAGCCTGAGTGGAGATCCTCAGTACTCCACCAGGGCATGCAGAAGAGACCTCAGGGTTAAACTATCCTGAGAGTAAAGGTGAGGGTGTTAAGGTCCACCTTAACAAAGCTTAAAAATAAGCCTTGAGAGGATTAAGCCAATCTGCCAGTAACTTAAACTCTTGTAAGAACAAAGACCAAAACTCTTTAAAGGAAAACGAAATTTAGGCACTCAACAATGTTACATTCACAGTGTCCATGCATCCGATCAAAAATTATTAAACATGACAAGAAAAAGGAGGAGAAAATGGGATCTATAATCAGGAAAATAAATCTTTCAACCGAAACAGACCCAGAAATGACAGAGATGACGGAATTAGCAGACACAGATTTTAAGAACACTTTAAAACATACAAAGAGGCTGAAATGCTCAAGGATTTAATAAAAACCTTGAGCATAATGAGGAGATAAATGGAAGATAAAACTTCTAGAAAATGAAAAGTACAATATCTGAAATGAATATTTACTGGGTAGAATTAAGAATAGCTTAGAAACTGCAGAAGGAAAGCTTGGTGAACTTGAAGACACAGCAATAGAATCTATCCAGGCTGAAGCATGGAGAGAAATGAAGATGGAAACTGCTTTTGGCTAAAGAGAGCGCCCTCGCCAAAGTTTAAATATGTTCCAGGAGGAAGGTGCAGGTACAATTCAAAGAGTGTTTGAGAGAGGGGTACAATCATTCCAGGATGAGGTCACAGCTATACTCCTGGCAGCTCGGGGGGTGGGGGGTGGGGAGGCGGATGTTTGCCTCAGTCCTGGAAAGGGAATAAAGCAGAACACTTCTGCATCGACTGTCTTGTTTTTATTTTGTTTTAACAATCTTAGAATTGACTGTGGAGTGATACCAAAAAAACCCTCTGATTTATGCAAATCTGTCTGTGAAAACACATTTAAAAAGGAACATTCACAATGGTCTTTTATGTTCATTTTCAACATAAAAGCTTCCTCTAGATTCTTCTGTTTTTTAAAAAGTTTGTAAAGTAAATTTACAACCACCATAAATTATTTAAAAACAAAGCTGCTTTTCTTGATAAGCAAGCTCTAAACGGGCAAGGATTCTTGTTGTTGTGAGTTTTGGTTGATTGCTGTCTCCCATGCAGAGCAGTGCTGGGTGTACCTAGAAGTGCTAAGTAAATGCTGAATGGAGTAAAGCAATGCATGAATTGGGCCGTGTTACACACAAAATAGTATTTCCTCTTGCACAAAGGGGGAAGAGGTGTACCCACAACATGACTAACAATAATGTACAACTGAAATCTCACAAGGTTGTAATCTATCATAACATTAATAAAAAAAAAAATAAACAGCTTGCACACACCAAAAAAAAAAAAAAAAAAAGTATTTCCTCTTGTTTTCCTCAAGGTGGTGCTGTGTACAGCATAAAGGGTCACTCAAGCAATCTCATTTTTTTCCCCTAATGTAGCCTTGATATGTGATCAATTTCCTTTTACTGTATGTCTTTTTTTTAACCTGCCCGTCTTTCCAACCTCCCAATCTTTTAGATTTATGTTCTTTTCTGGAAGGGGCTTACAAGATTGCAGGGACGTTGAATTTCTCTCACCGTTTCTCTCTAACTGTACAAGCAAATCATCCTTTGAACACTTCTTAAAAAATGTGCCCTAGACTACTTCTCTTCCACCTCCTGTGACTGTCATTTATTACAGAAGGACCTATCTGACAGACTTTGATACAATAAATGCTAAATTTTCCATTTCTCCATCTCTTGTCTTTTTTGGATGTTTATTGTCCAGTATTTTTCCTGGTTCAAATTTTAAATTGACTAGTATTTTTTTAAATAATAGCTTTATTGAGATATAATTGACATAGAATAACTGCACATATTAAGTCGTACAATTTGATACGTTCTGACTTATGCATACACCTGTGAAACCATCATCCCGTTCCAGATGAGCATATCCGTTACTCCCCAAAGTTCCCTCATTCTGCTTAGAAATCTCTCCTCCGTCCATCCTTTCCTCTCTCCACTCTACCATCTGAAGGTAACCACTGATTTGCTTTCCATCACTCTAAGTTAGCTTTTATTGTCTAGAATTTTATGTAAGTGGAATTGTGCACTATTTACTCTTTTTCTTCTGGTCTCTTTCACTGATCGTAATTATGTGTATCATGTTCATCTTTTTATTACTGTGTCATATTTCATTGTATGAATATACCACAATTTATTCATTCATTCATTTATTGATGTACTGTGGGGTTCTTTTGAGTTTTGGTTATCACAAATAAATCTGCTATAAACACTTGGCCATAGACTTTTCATGGATAGTTTCATTTCTCTTGAGTAAATACCTAGGTGTGGAATGGCTGGATTGTATTGCAAATGTATGCTTAGCTTTAAAAAAACAACTGTCAAACTGTTTTCCAAGATGGATGTACTATTTAACATTCCAAGTAGCTGTGTACGAGTTTCGATTTCTTCACATCTTTGTCAACACTTGGTATGGTCAATCTTTTTAATTTAACTATTCTAATATGGATGTAGTGGTGACTGGCCTCTCTCTGTCATTAATTTCTTATGTTTAGACACATTTTCAGTTTTTCATGAGTTCCATAAAATCTTATATATACTGATCTTAATTAGTAGAGAGAAAAGAGAAAATATATGAATGAACAAAAATATGTTGTTTAAGAAATGAAAATTCTATGGTTTGTTATTCTTAAAACGATTGATTGTGGATATGGTAAGATCCAAGTATTAACTATTACTCTTGAATATAGGAAAGAGTAGCCCAGGCCTAGTGGGAATAACTCGAGAGGTCTCATGAAATCCTTTACTCATTCCCTTTCTACCTCATTGATTTCTCCTGTCATGAGTCCTCAAATGACATCATTTATTCCCTTTGGCTCTTCAAAGTTTTCCGTCTTCAAGAACCCCCTCTTACAACCAAGTATTGCTGGGAAAAAGACCTCATTGCACCCAGTTATCTCTGAACACTGGGTAAGTTCAAGGCTTGCAAGGTCTTGTGGGGATGGAACGCAGAAGAGTCAGACAGGGAGCAGGGTTGTCTGGGGCTGCAGGCTACTGATGTAACTCCCACCATCTACACTCTCCCTCCTCTTTGTCCTGCCCCAAAACTGTCAAGATTTCAGGTTGCTCACCTGCGTAAATACCTGGCTGAGCTCGTGGGGGTTTGAAAGTAGTACACCCTGCCCATTCCATGTCTGAGGATACACAGACTCAGCATAGATACTGTGACTCTTTCACAGTGTTCACACAAGACACATATTTCCAAGCACGGGTTAATGCAAGTATAAAACATTTCAATTAATTATAACAAATGTAAGCCGATGAGCACAATGTACACTACATGAGCACAGAGAATATATCCTAATTTATCTTTTTTATCCCTTTCCTCATGTTCTCCTCTTTCTCAATGCCTGGCATGTGGTGTTGGCGGGAGTGGGGGGTGGGTTCACCAGAAGCCAATCATTTAAAAGGCACTGCATAATATTTTGAAGTTAGCAAGATGGAAATAAAGCGTTTGATAGAGGTAAGCAAAGGAGTGCCATGCCACCTGCCTCACCCTGATGAAGTCATCAAACATTTCAACGCTTAATCTCTTCAAGTGTAAAAATGGGATAATGACTGTGTCCCAATCACAGATTCGTCGTGCAGATTAAGTTATTTATTTTATGTAAAGCTCTTACAACATGGCACGCCCAGTACATAGTAAGTGCTATAT